CGACCCCAGCCACAAGGCTGTGTGTGATTAGGGCAGAATTTCCTATAATTGGTTGGGAGGAGCAACAGGATGCTTTTCTCAAAATAGTGACCAATCAGTGATGGGTCTAATTTGAGGCCAATGCCAGGAGAGGGAGCCCGTTCTGAACGTTGCCTGGATGACCAGGAATAAGACACTAGCTAGCACAGAGACCTGTGAAAGAAAAAAAATCAATGAGATTATTAATAATGATATCCTTATTCACTCATAAATCAGTGCTTACCTGAATTGCCATCAAAGAGGCTACTGCTGGGGGCTGCTGTGAGCAGAGGAAGAGACCCATAGCCAAACCCTGGGTGGAGAGTAACATTTCCTTAAGTACAGTTGCTACATTTTTCTTTTGTTTTCTTTTTTCCTTCTTTTTTTTTGGTTTGTTTTTTGAGATAGGGTTTCTCTGTAGCTTTGGAATCGCCCCTGGAACTAGCTCTTCTACACCAGACTGGCCTTGAACTCACAGAGACCCACCTGCCTCTGCCTCCCAAGTGCTGAGATTAAAGAGAAGCGCCAGCACCGCCAGGCTCAGTTCCTACATTTTCTTCCCCATTTTGTCATTTAGTCTCAGGATCTCAAACTGCAAATAAAAAAAAGTCCAATGTGAGTCATTCAAAGATGCTCAAGGATACTTTGTGAAAATTAGTGTCAATAATAAGGTTTATATACCTTCTGAATACCATTCGAGCAAATATCTGTTTACTATTTTTATAATAAATATTAGACACAGCTAGAAGGCAAGTATTCAGGAAATTAAGAAATACTAAGTTTGTATTAAAATCACAGATAATAAAGTTTTTTGTTCCATGTGTCCTTCTTTGGCAATTAAAAATATTGTGTCAAAGGCTGACGAGGTGGCTCTAAATATATTAATTTCCTTTGATAGAAGATAATCAAATATGTTCACTATTTCACATCTATTATGGTCTCATGACCTCTGACTTTGTATTCTGGCCATGGACATCCAGAGAAAATATACTTACAGACAGAAGAGAAGTGAGGGTGCATAGTTGAATAAGCAGTCCCACTTCAGTGTTTCGAAGCCTTTGTTACATTATTTATATAATTAAGAATATGAAATATTAATGCAAAAAATTTAATAAATATGCAAGTTGTGCTATATAGTATTTGATATCCAAGAAACATCCAATGATAGTAAATATTTGAAGATATTTAAACATTTGTAATTACTTGCATGCAGGCATGCCTGTTTTCTGGGGGGGGGTATTTGTTCATGTTTGTGCAGGCACTTGAATAGGCCAAAAGCGAATGTCAGGTCTCCTGAAGAGAGAGTTACAAGGAGTTTTGAGTCACACAGCATTGTGCTGGGAAATGAACTTTGGTCCTCTTAAAGAGTAGAATATACTCTTAACTGTGGGTCTCTTCAACCTTTGTCATAATATATTTTCAAAGAGGGACACATGAAATAAGCAACTTTATTATATGTGATATTTAATATAAATGTAGTATTTCTCAATTTCCTGTGAAGGAGAGCGAGTGTAATTACAAAGTAAAACCAATTATATGAATTTATGTTTAAATACCATTATATCAATACTAGGCAAATAGGAGTAAGAATTTCTCTAGAGACTATTAAAGTGGGTGAATGAAACCAGTCTCTGAAAGACAACAGTCACATTTGCTCTAATTTGAGGATCTAAGATTTAATGTAAGTACAAGTAATCATGTAGGTATGTATTACGTGGAATTAGAAGTGAACTTGATTGGAAACCAAAGGAAGTCACAGGAGGGGCCAGAAAGTTTGAAGTGAAGTGTGCATGGGTAATACGTGAGAGAATTTTTAGGTTCAAACATTTCAGATACCTACATTATGTCTTCTAGAACCAGTAACTAAACTTATTTACATATATATGTGCAATGTATATATACATGTATGATATAAAATATATACATATATAGGACTATATTAACTGCGGATCTCTTCAACATGTATATATTATACATGTATATATGCATGTATAATATTATATATATATATATATATATATATTAGGACTATAGTTTGAAACATCCGTTGTCAATTCCGTGGGAATCTTTTAATAAGAATTATATTCAGGAGTGGTTAGTTTCTCCTTTTTCACTTTTCTATATGCTATATTATTACTGTTATATTTGATCTTTACTTTATAATATGGATATACATTCAATAATGTAAAACTATTATGCCACAAATCCCTATTTAAAATTGATTTATGCATATGTTTGGTTGTATGTACAAATAATTGAGTTTTGTAACATTTTGTGAATGGTAAAATCAAATATTAAATTATGATCATTTGGTTATCTGTGTAGCATGAAGAGTTATTTTATTGAGTCTGTGATATATTCTTAAACAGGAAACATTAAATGAGAAATTTACTTTTTTATTTACCAATGCCTATCAGCACAACATATTTTCTCTTCCTCTGGTGACACCTAAAATTCAGTTCTTTTGATAAAAATCCATACATATAGTTAAGATAAACCATTTAACACGATAATTGTTAGAAAAATATACTATCTATAAGCATTGATAGGAAATATCTAAAATGTTGATACTAAAAGTTGTGTTTTAAAATCCTCAATAAAATTTTCACTTAAGCAAAAACACTAAGTTTAAGTCAATTTATAATTTTTAAAATACTTTTAATTACTTCAAATATACCTTAGGCAAAAATTAGAATGCATGAAGTTTATTGCATAAAAACATTTCAAAGATTTTTCTAAAACAAATAACACTCAGAAACAAAATTAGAATAAGCAATAAATGAATCCTTCCTAAACACTACTGCCTTTTTCATAACAAAATAGTAAATTAAATCAAGTCACTAAGCACATTCATTATTAAATTCTTGCTGCCTTGTATACTATTACCTGTGAATTCAGGTTCTTTCTATAACATTTTTCATCAACTATCCTGACACTTTCCTTCTGAATGTGATGTTTCCATCAAGTACATATTCTTCCTTGTTTTGTGTTTTATTCCCCTAAACAATGTGTTTCCTTGAGGTGCTGTCATTTCTCCTTTAGACTCTTTCACTTCAGTGGTAGTCTGGAAGGGTTTTGAAATTAGATAGTACATGTATTGTAATCTAAATAGTCTATATTTTACTAGATATATACTTAAAATTTTGAGTAAAAAATGTAAAACCTTTGAATTTTAAGGGAGTACATTTTTCAGACCTTTTAAAAACAACTCTGAGATTCCAGCTTACACCTGTAAGAATGGCCAAGGTCAAAAACATTGATAACTTGTGCTGGAGAGGATGTGGGGTAAAGAGAACACTTCTACATTGCTGATGGGAGTGTTAGCTGCTACAGCCCCTTTAAATATCAGTATGGCAATTTCTCAGAAAATTCGGAAAAAACCTTCCTTAAGATATAACTTCCCAGTTTACCACGTTTGGGTTGTTGGACCCTAGCGTCCAATCACCGAGGAGGAGGAGTCGCCCCAAGAGACCATCTCTCATATCACAGCTGATGTAAAGGCATGAGGATTTTATTAATTCTGTCATGACAGGGTCTTCCAGCAGTCGGGAGGCTAGAAGACACTGCATGTCTGGTACAGGCTATTTTTAAAGAGAAAAACCACAGAAGGAAGGGGTGTCTGGGGGTTGTTCTTTAACTATTATGATTGGCTTATTCAAAAAGGCTATTAGCAATAATTGGCTGGAGAGTGGTTGCCAGATCAGATGAGGTAAGGGGAAACTTCTGAGGGTCACTTTGCCCCTTCCCAGGGACTATGTCAAAACATCAGTAACTGAGTTAACACCTAAAGGTTATCTTGCCCCTATTCAGGGAGATGGAAAGTTCCCAACATCTCAGTATGTGCATGCATAGCTGTTATGTCCTTGGTTCCCAGGGGAGGGGAGTACTGAGAGTTGTCAGAAATGTCTTCAGAATTGTCTTAAAGTTCTACAGGGTATATATCCAAAGAATGCTCAATCATATCACAAGGACACGTTCTCAATTATGTTCATAGTAGCATTGTTTGTCACAATCAGAACCTGGAAGCAACCTAAATGCCCCTAGACTGAAGAATGGATAAGGAAAACATGGTACATTTACACAATGAAGTACTACACAACAGAAAAAAATAAAGACATCTTGAAATTTGTAGGCACATGGATGGAGCTAGAAAACATCATATCGAGTGTGGTAACCCAGATCCAGAAAGACAATTATCACATGTACTCACTCATAAGTGGTTTTTAAACGTAAAGCAAAGAAAACAAGCCCACAAATCACAATCTCAGAAAACCTAAACAACAAAGAGGACCCTAAGAGAGACATACATGGATCTAACCGACATGGAAAATAGTAAAAGACAAGATCTCCTGAGTAAATTGAGAGCATGGGGACCATGGGGGAGGGTTGAAGGGGAAGGGAGAAGCAGGGAGGGGAGAAGAGAAAAATGTATAAGTCAATAAAATCAATTAAACAACACAAAGGAATAGAAGAAATTCAGTCTATTTCTTTTTTTATTATTTTATTTTATTACTTAAAAAATACCAATCCAAATTCCCTCCTCCTCCATTCCTCCTCCTTCTGCTTCCACACATCCTCCCACTTCAACCCCTTCAATCCTTACAGAGTGCAAGGCACCCTTCCTGTGGCCTCCCTCCTACATCTAGGTTGAGCAAGGTATACATCCAAAGAGAATAGGATCCCCATAAGCCAGTATATGCAGCAGAGACAACTCCCAGTGCCACTGTCAGTGGCTTTCCAATCTGCTCCAGCTGTCAACCACATTCAGAAGGATTAGTCTGATCCCATGCCGTTCACTCCCAGTCCAGTTGGAGTTGGTGAGCTCCCATTAGCTCAGGCAAACTGTCTCAGTGGGTGAATCTCTCATGGTCTTGACCTCTTTGCCCATACTCTCATTCCTTTCACTCTTCAACTGAACCTTGGAGCTCAGTCCAGTAGTCCAATGTGGGTCTCCACCTCTATTTCCATCTGTTGTTGGATGAAGGTTCTATGGTGATATTTAAGATAATCATCAGTCTGACTACACGGCAAGGCTATTTCGGGCACCCTCTCCTCTATTGCTTACAGAATTCCCAGGAATTCAGTCTATTTCTACAGTAACTGCAAATTCATGAAGTATTAGGATAGAACTGAATTGTTGCAATAACTTTTGAAATGATTATCCGAGATGTTAGGATTTTATATAGATCAGGAGATGACGAGTATAAAATTTCAACTCATTAGTAAAATGTGGGATTTATTTACTTACTTATTTACTTATTTTTACCAAAGACAGACTACTGATTTCAAGCAGCTTGAAGACACGATCATGGAATATTTAATAAAGCATTTTATTTATAACTGAGTGTGCTATATTGAACATATACAGTTTTGGAAAACATTCCTTAAAATTCTTTTCAATTTTCGGAATATTGGCATGCCTACAATTCTTGCTTTACTCATATACATTTTATTCGTGTATTTATATAAAAATTTCTATAAGCCACATCTAATATATGATAGATAATAATCTCTCAATACTGAAATATAAAGTATAATCAGTAGATAATCCATTTTCTTATCTGCTATAGAAATTCCTTCAATAGTTTCAAATTGTTCATTATTTGTCAATAGAAATATGGTTGGGTGTCAGTTCCTACAAAGATAAAAAACAAAATATTTGTTAGACTCATTCAAACACTTAAATTTAATATTCATTTACACCTAAGTTTCAATATCTTGAGTCCTTATTTTATATACTGTGTACACAGCTCCTTAAAAAATCCCAATTACAAGTCTCTTTCCAAAAAAACATCTTCACCCTACCCAATCTTGTTCTTTTAATCTCCCATTCTCTAATTAATTCACTTTTATCTTGTACCATTGGGTTCAGTTTCTAAATACGTTCTGATCATTTTCTCATTGCAATACATAGAAGAAATCATTCAATCTCTTATTGAAACACCCAAAGAAATCTGTCCTATATTAAGAAATTTTAGAATAAACCTTGTGTATGCCTATTATGTTCATAGAGGCCCACTGAATGTCTTGATTTTAACATTTTACATCAAAACAACCATTTTCCCCAGGATGTTAAATATAGGTTCATGGAGTGAATAGCATTTTGACTAGTCTTTAAGAATCTATAAAATCCTGAAATTCTTTGTGGTTTTGCTACTTTCACTTCAAAACACTAAATATTTGGTCAACAGAAGTAATATTTAGTAGGAAACAAATGGAAAGCAGGAAAGAGAATAATATTAGCAAAATTATTATAGAAAAATAACAAATCCTAGAACAACCCACAAGGAACAGGCGAAGGGATATTATTTGAAGAAATATGAAATAGAAAACTCCATACATAGAGAAATTTATCAAAATACCCTCAAGCTTGAAGTAGTGTTACACATTTAATTATAGAATTCAAGATGAAGAGGCATGTGGACATCTGGGTGTTCATGGCCACCCCATTATACCAGAGCAGTCAGGAGCATTCTCCTCAAAAAAGTCCTTTATATAGATATTAAGTATAATAAATGCAGGGTCTAAAACATATTATTCATTTTCAGCATACTAATTCTTTTCATGAAGTAGTCTTATCTTACATATGTAAAGATTCTGGTTCAAAGACAAATGCAAGTGAAGTTTCCTCTAACACGTCTGATGATAAAAGCAAAGTAATGTCTAAGTCTTGGGTTATAGTTGGTATTCAAAGGAAAAGTTAATACATGGGTTAAAAACATACTAAATCTGACTTTCTGAATTGCCCTCATATGGCCTGCATTTTGATCCCATTGCTATGGTAAATATATGAAAGAGGAAGGAGAATGGAATATGGAGTCAGATGGGCTCATAGTCAACTCATGTATCTCTTCCTTTCTACTTTGCAGAGAGCAAAAATGTGAGCATATTTCCACCTTGCCTGAAGGTCAAAGAGTTTCAACTTGTTCAAAGTTGTTGACAACAAGTGTGACTACACACCCTGACCTAAGTGTATTTTTTTGACATTATGATGACCCACACAGGTAGATCAATGGTCAGGATATTCAAGCAGACTTCTGCTCCTTCTTTTGAAATAGGAGGTTTGACCTTGGGAGTGGCTGCTTTCAGGATACCTGGTCTTGGGTGGGTTCATTGCTGAACAACTAAACGTTAATGACTTGAAGTCTCTAAGCATTGAAGCAAGCAATTGCTTGAGTTGTTATTTGTATAATGTTAAAGCAGTCATTTGTCTTCTTCCCCCAGTTGTGTTGGGGTGAAAAAGTGTATGGAAAATTAAACATTGGGATTTTAGTATTCACTGGAATGCCCTCCTGGTACTATTAATTTTCCTCGCATATACATGCCCTTTGCTTCTCTTCTAATCTGCATGCCTCTACCCTGGTAAGTGGTAATTTTGTCCAAGCTGGTTTCCATCAATCATTTGTAATGATGGGCTGTTCAGAAAACAAAGGATCATCAAACTCCCCAAATTATTGATTAATGACAACCACTTTAAATAAAAATTCAAAGTGTATTCACATTCACAGTCCTATTCAGCATCAAACAAACAAGACCTTTTCATTCATTTCTTGCCTATTCATATTATGTTAGTGATACTGTTTTAGTCACAGTAAAATTAGCCTAGGTCCATTAAGAAATAGCCTATAGAATCAGTGTGTGTGTGTGTGTGTGTGTGTGTGTGTGTGTGTGTGTGTCACAAAAGTCTCATTTGTCAGATATTGGGATAGACAATGATGACTGGCTGCTTCCTGGTCCCATGTGATCAGGGCATTTTTCCATCCTTTTACTTTATCATTAAAGATAAGATGTATTTCATGCAAATAACAAATAGATGGACTTTGTTCCTTGATCCATTAAGTTAGTCCATGTCTTTTGATTAGAGAATTGAGGCTATTAATATTTAAAATTATTATTAGAATTTCTTTGTGTTACTTGCAGGTGTTGTGTTGCTGATTTTCAGTGTTGTTTATATTCTATGTAGTACCTTGTATTTAGTGATTATGTCTTTGTGTCTCTTTCCAAAAGTTTTGAAAAGTTGTAGAAGAATAATAATGATGAAGTTGTGAATGTTTACACTAGTTAATATAACAAGATAAAGAGGTCAGTTACTATTTAAAATTTGTTTCATAAGTCTATTAACTTAAATTAAATACATGTATTTTGACAGCATACCTCTATTGCTTCTCCATTTATAATTAAATTGGGACTGTTGCTGCATCTGAAAAAAGTCAGATATTATTTAACCTCTATATTAATTAAAGATTTCTAGTTCATGGGCAGAAAATATTTTTGTAAATACAGACCACATCTTCAGTCCTCAACACCAAATCTGTTCTTTAAGTGATCACAAAATGAACCTAAAAGATCTATCTCCTCATCTCAGTTACATCACTTGTAATTGCAAAATAATAACTTCTAGGAGGGACAAAAGTATACAATGTCTCCTAGTACGTGGGACACAATGTGGAACCTAAAAATAAGATTGAGTAAAATATGTATACTGCCAAGCTTAAAGTTGCTTAAAAAGTAAGCCAAAGCATGTCAATGTAGACCTAGAGTTCTGTGTAGGAATAATCATTTTTATTTATGCACCCATGGTGTGAAAGTCCTTCTGTATATGTTTTGCTTTTATTGGTTAATGAATGAAACTGTTTCAGTCAGTGGTTTAGCAGAATAGAGTCAGGCGGGAAAAATAAACTGAATGCTGGGAGAAAGAAAGCAGAGTCAATGAGAAGTCATGTAGCCCTGCCAGAGACAGATTCAAGGAATGGGACTTTATCTGGTAAGTCACAGACATATGGCAATAGACGAATTAATGGAGTTGGATTAGTTTGGGATATAAGAGTTAGCCAAAAGTACGCTTAAGCTATTGGCCAAACAGTATTACAATTGGAATAGATTTGTGTGTGATTATTTCATGTCTGGGCAGTCAGAAACAAACAAGTAGCTTCCCCCTACACACCAATCTATGCGTTTATCTGGTGTAGGTCTGTGTCAGGATGTACACATATACATGTCATGGAGCATTTGTCTATGTCAGCTGACAAATACTGAGACAACTTGTTCTCTCCTTTCACATGTGGGTTCTGGAAATTGAACTGAAGTTGTTAGGCTTCACAACAAAACCTTCTAAACACGGAGCCACCTTGTCTGTTCAGGACTGATCATTTCCTAAAAGGCACTTTGCATTCAGATTTCAAATGAATTTCAAAAGAATAAATTCACTTACATACTTGTAAAATTTGTAAATGATGTCTCATAAAACTAAGAACACCAGGAACTTTCCAAGTTTATAAAATTTCTGGTTTTGTTTACTCTCTCTTTGCCCATGTAGTGTGTGTGTGTGTGTGTGTGTGTGTGTGTGTGTGTGTGTGTTTGATGGGGGTGTACTAATAACGTGTTGGAGAACACACTTATGTTGGGAAAACTTACTTCCAGTATTTTTCTCTCTCTTTTCCACTTTGTGTTTTTGAAACAAGGGTCCACACTGAACCTAGAGCTCACACTTTATTCTTATTCTAGACCAGCCTGACTGAGAACTATGGGATTCCCCTCTTCTCACGCACTCCCCAGCACTACAGTGACAGTCACTATGCCAAGCTTTCAGGTGGATGCTGTGCTTCTGAACTCATGCCCGTGCAATGGCACAGTAGCACAGTTTCCCCGTGGAGGCCTCTCTCTAATCACTCTACTTTGTTTTTTTTTTATCATGTTTCACTCTGACCTTAACCTAGGAATTGTAGACTACAAAGCCTAGTAGTTAACAAAGTTGAAAACTAGAACTACACCAGAACTGTAAAACTGAAAGCATAACCGACCATGCCTAGGCAGGGTTCTAGGCCACTGGTTGATAGCTGAGAGTCTGAGGGCAATGCTGACATGTATTCTCTTGGAAGAAGACTTACTCTGGGTCCTGGGTTGCTATCAAAATAGCCAGCAGAAGAGCACCCGGTGAAAGGCCTTGAGTTTTGTGCATTTACTGCGGATCTGCTGGGCTGCATTTCCATGTTAAGTTTTGTTCTGCTCATCTCCAAATTCTTGTAACTCCTGCAAAGATTGGAAAGGGTAAAGTCTAAAGCGGTCACTTCCTCCTGAATGTCTAGTAAGTTACTTGCATTTTAACAATACTGCCATGAGAATAAATGAAATTTTCATGGAATGGCACATTAAAAGTGTCTGTGAGTTTTCCAGCTGTATGCGTTTGTGGGCACACAATTTCTCCAAAGGCAGTTCACGTCATTGTAGAGGTATTCCAAATGAAATTAGATTTTTAAAGGAGGAGGGCTAGGTACAGCTATTAGAGGTGTGCAGCTTGACCAATAAAACTACTTCAATTAAGAGTGGACATATTTATAATATTCTTCACGGTGTTATTGGACTATGCAGTAGGCTATATGAATAGTAAAATATGATACATATGATCCTGGATGTTCACTTTCTTGATTAGAGAGATTTATTACATGAAAATTCATTTTAGCATTAGATTGTGATGCTTGATAAGCTAAAATGAAGCATCTAGGAATATGTGGATTTCATTACTGTGGAATTTCTGTCCTCTTGACAAGATATGGCTTTTGTCCTCTAAACTTTTAGACATTGTAATTATCTGCAGAGAATTGTTAAGAACACTGGGCCTCTTATCTTTATATGGAATTGGGACCTCATGGGTCCGTACTTATCCATGAGACATATAGATAACTAATTGTTGCACAAAAGGAAAGAATCTTCTTTTGTGTTTCCTTTAGCTCCCCGTCAGTTCTCCCTGTTTCTAAGTGTTCACCCAAGTTCTTGTAACTTTCACTGATTCCACTCACTGCCATCCAAAGCCAGGATGAGCAGAGTGGTCTGTGTGTCAGCACTGCAAGTGACAATCTTCACGCTTTCCATGAATGAGGTCAGTCATTTGCAGACCAGTTAGTGGATTTTACAAATATCATCTTTTGAAAACATGGGAAAATATTTGCCTTCCCCTTATGTGCCCCTCATGTTAAGACATGAGTATTATAATTAAACATTTTGCATGGGGAATAATACATAACAAACTGTGGGAGAATGTGATAGTGGAACTGTTAATAATAATAATAATAATAATAATAATAATAATTAAAAAAAAAGACTCAAAGAAGCATAAGACATAGTTACATCACCAAGGCAACACAGGTGGAAATTGTCTATATATTCTCCAAAAACCTTCACATCTAACAATTTTAAACCATTGTTTATAATCTAGGCTTTTCTCCTCATATTAATCTTTTCCTGTAGCACACTATGCATTTATGGAGACCATAGAAACTCAAAAGAATATTTTGTCTTCTGGCTCCCTCTAGTGGTAAGGTCAAAGTTCATAGCAAAGAAAATTGTTTAGCGATTCCCAGACTATGCCGGGGGAAGCAGAGGTGGTGGTACTTTTACCCTTGGCTTTAAGATACACTATCCTAAAGATTCCATATCTATTTTTATGGTAATGCTAACAGAAAGTTTTATGTAAATATTTCTTTCTTAATTAGATTGTTTCAAAACTACATAGCTGAAAATATATTTGATTTGACTAAGTATATCAAATTACCATGTATAATAAAAAGCAGAAAGCATCATAATCTTTTACCACGTAAAATTAACTTTCTGTAATATTATTTCCCAAAATTATATCAGCAAATTCATATTAATCTTATAAGAATTTCACAAATAGTATTTTGCTAAAATTACGTTTTAGACAAATTGCTGAACTATAAGGCTTTCTACATATATGTATGTTTCTTACTCGTTTAGGTAACACTGAAGTGATTTTCTGAAGCTTAATTCTTCTTGATAGAGGTATTTATATCGCTCCAGTTTGAATAAATTTAGTGCTCTGCTAGCTTTCAGTTTAGGGAGCATAGATTTTAGGTATCTAACATTGGCTTCCATCGCATTTATTATTGAAGTTGTGCCGTTCTCTCTTAAGAATTCCGAATATGGTTTAGCTGTTGCTTGTGCCTGAAACATTAAATGCCGATATTAAAACTCTATTTTGTATGTCAAAATCAATTGTACTCAGCTAATACAAGGTGCTTGATGACTATAGCTTTAAGCTAGTGAGTCAGAGAAAATTCAAACATACTGTAAGGAAGAGATGCTAGAATTCTAAGGACATAAAAATTTTTAAAAAGCTTTGCTTGGTCAGGAGATGGTTAAGACATTGGCTTTAATCTCTTTGCAGCTTCAAGAACTATTTGAAAACAGGAACCTCTGCAAAAGTATAAACCACAAAATGTTCCTAGAAGCTAGCCACCTGTCATCACCCAGCTTTGTGATCTAGACAAGAGCAGAAATAACTGGAGGGGTTGGCGGGGGAGGGGAGCATGCACAGAAACAGAAGTGGTCCATACCCTGTACTCAGCAAAACCAACCTGGCTTGCAGTTTTTGCCTTTATATATCAACCTCAAATGAGGAATGGGAGCTCTCCTTACAGCACTGCATCACATGGGGGAACTCCCAGCTAGCTGGCATAAGAATTAAACCTTGGTTTTGCATTCTGGACTTGACTGGATTCTGGTGGTCTCTCTGGGGGTCTCAACTTAAGAAAAACAGAATCTCAAGTCTTCATCCATATCAGCTGTATAAAATCAGCAAAGTTAGGCGGTGGTGGCGCATGCCATTAATCCCAGACTCAGAAGGCAGAGACAGACGAACTTCTGTGAGTTCGAGGCCAGCATGGTTTAAAGAACTAGTTCAAGGACAGCTAGGGCTGTAATATGGAGAAACCTTGTCTCGAACCCCCCACCCCCAAATCATCACAAAGATGGACTTGTTCAGTTGTTTGTGAGGCACAGGACATCAAACCCAGATCTTGCCATATGCTAGGTACATGCTCTAAGACATGCGCCACATCGTCAGTATTAAAATGTGGTCTGTCCTGTATTTATAAAAGAAAGAGACATAAAGGGTACAAAGGCATTATTAGTGGAAACCCATGGACCACAAAGAAACTGAAAATTATAATGGTAATGAAACTTGGAGGAAGAGACTATTGCTACATATTAGGTCAATATTGGATTTACTTGATATATAAGCTAAAAAAA